GAGCAGGTGTGCATGAAAATCAAGGTGGTCCACTGAGACCCCCGAACCTGAGCCCTGAGCTTAGAATGGCCGTACTGGGTCAGACCAAAGGTCCATCTAGCCCAGTAGCCTGTCTGTCAACAGCGGCCAACACTAGGGACCCTGGAGGGGATGGACCCAAGACAATGACCAAGCCATTTGTCTCGTGCCATCCATCTCCAGCCTTCCACAAACAGAGGCCAGGGACACCATTCCTACCCCCTGGCTAATAGCACTCCATGGACCCAACCTCCATGACTTTATCTAACTTCTCTTTAAACTCTGTTCTAGTTCTAGCCTTCACAGCCTCCTGCAGCAAGGAGTTCCACAGGTTGACTATTTGCTTTGTGAAGAACTTTTCTGTTAGTTTGAAGCCTGCTACCCATTCATTTCATTTGGTGTCCTCTAGTCCTTCTATTATGGGAACTAATGAAGAACTTTTCTTGATGCACCCTCTCCACACCACTCATGTTTTTATAGACCTCTATCTTACCCCCCCTCCATCTTCTCTTTTCTAAGCTGAATAGTCCCAGTCTCTTTAGCCTCTCCCTCTTATGGGACCTGTTCCAAACCCCTGATTATTTTAGTTGCCCTCCCCTTTCCCACCCTCTGTCTTCCCCTCTCCCACCTCCTTTTCCCAGTCTCCCCCAGTTTTGTTCAATGAAGAGTTTCTATTTTTGAACACATGTGTCCTTTATTTTGTACATCAGGAAGGGGGGCTAGGGATGGGTAAGTGGAAGGAGGTGAGGGAGGAATGGGGTACGAGCCCCCGATGGGGAGGACTGGGCTGGCTCTGCAGGCTCCTCGGGGTGCAAGTTCTCCTGAAGCCCCTTGATTGACCCACCCCTCCGGATGGCAGCCTGCGGCAAGTGCAGCCGGGCTGATGGCTGGGTGCTGTGATGTGCCAAGTGTGGACACTCAGGGCACTCCAAGCCAGGACTCCTTTGCAAGCGGGGAACCCCTGAGAACTGTCTGTCCAGGGTGGGGGTTGGGACCCTTTAAGCACAGCCCTCAGCTAGCCTGAGGCAGTAGCTCCATGCTCTAAGTCCTAACCTGATGCCCTGCCGGCACTGCTTCCGGCCATCCTTAACCTCGGTGTGGACATGCTAGTTCGAATTAGCAAAATGCTAATTTGAACTAGTTTTTAAGTCTAGATGCACTAATTCGAACTAAGTTGGTTCAAATTAACTAATTCGAACTAAGTTAGTTCGAATTAGTGCTGTAGTGTAGACATACCCTGAGGGCCAATGGAGTCTATGTAGCTGCAGGAACATTCAAAGGTTGAATTTTGAAGTGCTCACATAGGTTGGGGGCAGGCGACTCCCACCCTCAAAGCTCAACCTCCCCCAGAAGTCAACCCCTCTCTTGCCCGCATCCCACACACAAGCATTCCTCCTCCACTATTGAATACTTGGGGTAGGAAACATGTTGAATGTGCAGCTTCCACAAAGCTTCCAAATGGTCATCTTGGTTTCTGAAATTTTGTCTAGTTGAAACTACTTGGATTGTGGGTTGATGGCCTGTTCAAAGGACAACTAGCATTTCAAAACATTGTAGAAACCCTTTAGACTCTTGCTAAAGCAATTTATGGTTATATTGTTTAAAGAATCATTGCTGCACACAATTTTAACGTTTAGAACATGGTAGAGAAAATTATGTGATATCCTTTTGATCTTGTTACATACATTTTTAATACAGTAATTTATAAATATTAAACTTTAGTAAATAAGTAATATTTACCCTTATCCAAAAGAACCATATACCCATGTTTCGAATCCCTGCCATCGAAGTGAAGATAAAATACAAAATAATTGTTGTAATGAGGATATAATCAAGTGGGAAAACCTAAAAAGAGAAGAATATTAACATATCAAAGCTGACAAAAGGAACGAGACTGGAAGGAAGGATATGCCCCCATTTGTTTACCCAGACCTGAGAATGCTTGAATTGAAGTCTCATGATGTAGCTTCAGTCTGCCCTTGTAACTTTCAAGAAATTGCTTAAAAAAAAGGGCACAAGGCAGCTAACAAACTAACATGCTCAGAAGAAGAGTCCAAGAGGCACCTTTCTTGAATGGTCATCATTAGTTGGCACTGCTGAATGACATGAGGGACAGATCTTGAACCACAGAGATTTGCTTCTGGCTATTTTACGATTGTGCACAGAGTAATAATAGGAGGGAACAAAGGGGCATCGGAAACTTTATCAAGTCCCTTTTTTCACAAGGCCATCCCCCCCAAATGAATAGATATTTGTCTAACAGTAGTTATAAAAGCAATATATCTAATGCATTTCTTTCATATTGAAGAGATAGACATTGCAAGGTTCTGTCTTGCAGACATGAACATTAAGAAGGAACTGAAAGGGTGCTGATGCTAACCCTCTCTTTAAAGCATCAACTACAGTGGTCACAAGTGCTAACAGGGTGTAGGAACAGCCACAATGTACACTGCTATTGCAAAGCAATCTGATCGTATATTCAGGGTACACCGATTTGGATAACCACTTGAATCATCCCATGAATCAACAACATATACAGTGCAAGAAGGCCTTAGTGTTTTAATGTGTTCATCTGCAAAACTGAAAGTTCTCACAATGTTTAATTCTACCTCTAAGAGAATATTTGAGACTGCTATATAATGAAGTATTGTATTAAGACTTACTATTAACATATTTGTTGCTGCATATTTACCTCTTTAATGGCCAATGTTAAATTAAAACAAAACATGTTCAAAATGAAAACACTTTTGGATTTTTGATTTATCTATTACTAGATAACTTACAGACTCAAGAGATCTCTTAATTTAGAATGATCTCCTAGATCCTAGTTTATATTAAACACATTTATTTACCAGTTATTGTTTTACTTACAGTTTGTAGAACAGGTAAAAGCATATTCAATGGATTAGTTAGGTTAGTTCCTAAAATTATAAATCCAGAGTTGATGCCAGCAGAATGTAGAGCTTTATCCAAGCTGCAATAATTAAAGAAAATTGGTTAATTATGATGGCTTTTTTCCTCTCCATATAACTAATTTATTCAGTTTCTTTTAAAGGAATGTCAGATTTAAAAAAAAAAAAAATCACTCTTCAGTTTAACTTTTTTAGAAACTGTTGCAAACACCAAAAAAAGTTAGAATTGAAAACTTTAGTCTCGGCTTTTGAATGTCATAGCTTCCTCTGTATCGTCAGCTATAGTCTGGTCCTGCAAACATGCAAGTCAAGTTATTCATGTGAAGTCAATGAGACTATGTACATGTTTTGGACAATCTATTACTTAGTTTCTCTTAGACGTTTGCATGGTTATTTCACATGAAGAATATTTTTAAAATAGGGAATGTGATACTTATATGCAACTATACCCCACCTGACCCCCAAAAAAATCCCTCCACGGGGTACTCAGGGATAGGTGAGTTAAGACTTCGATTTTCAGTTGGCTACAGCACTATAAGCTTTATGAAAAATGGAAATAACCAGGACCAAAATAATATGCAGAAAGCAGATTAAAGGTGCAAGTGTTGAACAAGGTTTCACTCATAAGCCCATGCTTATTTTATGCCACATAAGTTGTCCCTTTATTTGCATTTGTCTACATGTACATTTATAATTTCTTTGCTGCATCAGTGGCAAAATGCTCACTTTCTTACAGTGAATTATTAAGCAGAAAAACAAAATGACTAATATTTAACATTGTATTGATTCCTCTCCTTCAGCTTTATCCAAATGGAGGTTAGGTGTTTAATATTGACTATTGATTCCTCTCCTTCAGCTTTATCCAAACGGAGATTAGGTGTATAATATTGATAGACATACTATTAGTTATCAGCAATTTGGCAAATATTTTTCAATAAAAAAGTATAACACTACAGAACAACTAAAGTAAAGCAGACAACTCTTAAGATGAAAAGATCATACAAATGGATTTTAAATTAGGTAAAATATCAATGCATGATCTGCAACGAAGTTACAAAATGGACATTGAAATATACTTACTTTGACAGGAAGAGAGAAATGGTGAACAACAGTGCCACAAGGATGAAAAACACTCCCCAGATGATCTAAAACAAAGATATATTATAATGAAGCTAAAAGCTCTCGGAAGTTGATATTAAAAGCACAAAAACATTATGCTCCATTTTATTGGTCAAGCACTGTTCAAACTGAACTAGGATGATTTTTTTTAATATCATGAGCAGTTCCAGAACTGGTCCCAAAATGGACCCCTGTTATGTTACTGATTGTGAACGGTAATAACTACTCTTTGGAAACGGTTATCCAGACAGTTATATACCCACCTTACAGTAGCCCCATTTAAGTTTGATAAGGAGATGAGAGACCATATCAAACTTTTGTTGCACTTGAATGAAGATTTATAGTCCTCAGGCAGCAGTTCAATAAAGGTTTTCATTATTTCAAAATGGTATGTGTATTTTTCTAGTTATGCTGACTAGCTTGATAACCCGATCTGAAGGGATGCTGAGGAGCAGGATTTTTACCCAAAATGTCCAGTCATTTCCATTCTTTGTCATAGGGTATGGATATACAGTGGGTCTGATTGCCTCCGATATGGGCCTGCATCCACTATGCAGGAGTTTGGTGCCAGGTGGGCAAGTAAAAATTCAGCCTTTTTGGTAGAAACATACTACTTCCTTTCAGCTCTTTTTGAGGTTGGTGAAATTGATCGTGGTGTCTGCCACAAAATCTTTGCAGGATCCAATAGGGCCTCGATAACTGGCTAGGCTATTTTAGATGGGGAAGCTCGTGTTGAACATCATGAACCTTGAACCAAGGAGATGTCAAAGGAATTGGACACTCTTGAATAGGTCTAGAAAGGACTTTAAGTCGTTTTCAGCCGTTGGAGGGGCATTGACTCATTGGGAGAAGACAAAGATATACGTAAAGGAGTCAAGGTGTCTTCCTCCTGTGTCTCCTCCAGATCTTCTATTTCCTCTTGTGTAATGTTAGATTTGGTAGATGCAGGTGGTTTGGGAACCACTGCCTGAGGTCTCGCTACCTCTGTCAATTGCAGTGCTGGTGTCTGAACTTTAATGGAGTCCCACGGATCCCTCCCTGCTAAGTTTGTGGGAGTGGAATGGAAGAGAACCATAGGAATGGTTGCCACATCTGGAGTTGGCTCCTTTCATCCCTCCCACCCACAGTATTCATCCCCCAAACCATCTGTTGCAACTGTGAGGATGGTTCTGGGGATGAGTACTAGGGGTGGGGGGGAAGAAAGGAGATTTCTTCCTCATCCTCACGGTTAGTGAATGGAGGAGCTGAGCTTGATGGAACAGCTAGTCTGCTTGGTCCCTCTAATGTAGGTTGACGTCAGTACCAAATAACTTTGGGCCTGGTACCAGCAGAACTGCCAGGTCTTGAGTGGTAAGCAGCCTTGGAGGAGGAAAGATCCATGCCACCTGTATGGAGTGCTGGATTTGCTGCAGTACCTTATCGCCTCATGCCTTCGATGTGATCAGTATGAGGGAAACTTCAGTATGGGGTGCCGGTACTGACTTCTTGTCTGTACCGGTGGTTCCAGTTGGCCTTTAGCCGTGGTAGGATGTGGCTGTCTGGGTACTGACTGCGTTGGTACCAATATTGTTGGTACCGATGGCGCAGAGGTGGCGGTCTTTGGCACTGAGACCACAGGGCCAGTATCTGTTGAGGACACTGCCCCTCACAGTTTGCTCTATCTCATGGGCCTAGGCTACTCCAGAATCCACCCCACTTCCCTACCTTAAGAGCATACCTTATTCTGCCTTCCTAACGTGGGAAGTGTGTGTTGGGTCCTGCCTTCCTAACGCGGTTACTAGCTCTGTGGCAGCCTGTGTCAGCTATTTGGCTGGTCCCGGGGGGAGGGGGCAGAGGGAGGGAGAATTCCCTGGTACCTGCGCAACCCCTGAAGTTTGTAACTTGTGTGCCGCGGAAGGCCTCTGCTGAAGGGATAACCTCTTGGGTGGCCTATCTGAAGGACGACAGGTGTGCTTCTTAGCTGTTTTCTTGGCCAGAGGCTCCCTCAATGCAGAAGACCCTTGGTCAGAAGCCACCATCAGTGAGGTACGGGTTGCAAAGGCCTGGGATACCAGCTCTGAGGGTTTTAACTGGAGCTTTCTTGCTTTCACAAACCTCAAAGAGAATTTCTTACAGTGATGGCAGCTCTTCAGAGAATGATCTTGTCCCAAACAAACTGATTGGCATGCCCATCAGAGACAGGAATAGACATTCTGCATATCAGCACCATTTATGTCCAGGAGAGCCTGGCATGGGAGAGGGAGGGAGGAGGAAGAAGGGGAAGCAAACCATATAACAAGAGAAAGTTATTAGACAGGATTAGATCTAACTAACAACAACACTATACAAGAAGCAAGCACAGAGAGCTGCTAGTTTCCAACCAAGCCAGGAGCAATTGAGAAGGAACTGAGGGATGATTGATGGCACACACGCATCAGCACATTTGCTGTGGTGCAAGAGGTGCTGCACATGCATGCTGGCACCTAAGAGGGATACTGCTGTTAAAAAGTTCCAATTATAAACACAGGAGCACCAGGATACCTATATTGTCAGGGGCACTCCTCAAAGAAGTGTAAAATTTACCATTAAAAATATGCGTGCCTATACTTGCTATAGCACAAATCATAGAAAAATTTTAAAACTATGTACCAAATGAAGATTTGGATGTACCTACGCAGAAAACTTAAAGCACAGATTTAATTTCCTCTCTTGCTATGTTGGGTCAATATGGAAGAGATCTATGAAGAATGCCATCACTTAACTATTCTTTTGTATGTTATCCTCTCCTAGAAAAAAAAAAAATCAAAACAGGCAAGCCATTGTTTAAAGAGGAAACAGTACTAGAAGAGAAACCGAGAGCTTCTTTTACAAAACTGCCAAAAGGACCTGCTTGTCGAAAAACTCATTTGCGGTAGATAAGTTGAATAAATGAAATATTGTAATTTGGCCCACATATCCATTCTGTATGCTTTCAATAAAGAGGCTTTAGCAAAATGAAAAAAGTTCCAGCTTTCCCATCAGCCAAGAAGGATTTAGAATTTCAAAAGTTATGTTTAGTATTTTAAAGCTACATAGGATTTCCTTTTTCAAAACGATATTGTTCAGCTCAGAAACTTAAAACAGCTAAGTAAGGAAATTTGTCTTTGAAATTATTCAAAAGACTTTTCAGAACTGACTAGGAAAAAAAAATCACCAGATAAACAAAATGCACAATAGAATCCCTACTAAAAGGGAAAACATGGAAATTAGAGTTTCAGGAACAGCTTAGAAAAGAGCCACTTAGCCATACTATTGTCCTAAAAGTCTAAAAAAACCACACTTAACTTCATGTTATGTTTGGGATTTGAGATTTTTAGAAAGAATGTATAATTTATAATGCTAACTAGCTTTTACAAACTAATGTCTCTTCCTTGTGCAAAAAAGTGGTCATAACAGCAGCCATACTGGGTCGGACCAAAGGTCTATCTAGCCCAGAATCCTGTCTACGAACAGTGCCCAATACCAGGTGCCCCAGAGGGAGGGATCAAATCATAAGCCAAAGATTCTAATCTCTGCATTCTATTAAAAAGAGTTGTAGTGTCAACTTGAATATGAATTTAAGGAGACAAACAGTAAAAATTTTACTTCCAAGGACTGAGTTCTAAGTGCATGGCTGGACAAAACAGTTTGAGCTTTGAATATTAACATCAACCTGTACTACTGACTTTTCTGAACAGGAAAAATTGTACTAGATGATATTTGGCAATAGGCAATTAAAAAATTCTGCCTTCAATCCCTTAGCATGAGGTCTGTTTCAAAATCTTTGGATTGTCCTATTTTAATGTTTAAGGAAATTTCACTTATTCCATTTCAATGCAAAATTGTACCTATGGAACCAACTCCTTGAATCCAGCACTGATCTAGGTCAGACATTCCCCAGGAAAAAAAAATGCAAATTATGGACATCTTGACTGATACATAGTACCAGATTACTGCAGTTTTTATTAATCCTCCTTACTGGATTCATTTGTAGCAACTGGTATCAATTAGGATAAACATTTTGTCTCCTCTCTATAAGAGAGCCTATGAGGCATTACAGTTGGAAAACACTTCTTTCATTTCTATGACTAAGTGAATAGGCAGCTTCCAGCTTTGTTAGATGTTCATTACTTTTTCTCATTTCCCTTATTTCTCCTCTTCTCCCATAATATAATTGGTACCCACAGATATGACTACCAAATTAAACCCAGTGGTGTCTCCCTTCCATTTACCATTCTATCTATTACCTGGTTCCTAACATATGTTCTGAATGCCAGATCCCATTTGTTGTAGCCAAAAGTGAACTATCTTCTTGACTTTAGTTGTATCACTACAGTACCAGAAGCTCTAACTGTAACTAGCCTCTTCTATACATATACCTTGATTTACTTCTTGTGATGTTTGTAAATGTTCAAAGCATTTTGCTTCATACCAGCTTGTAACCAGACATCAAGACATTGATAACTACACATTGGGCCCAATGATCTAGCAGCATTCCATGCACCTTATACTACTTTAACTTGCTGGCAGGAATACTGTGGGAGACCATATCCAAAGCTTTGTAAAAGTCAAGGTATCTTATGCCCACCACTTTTCCTATATCCGTAAAGGCAGTTATCTCATCATAAAGGGCAATTAGGTTGATCAGGCATGACTTGCCCTTGGTGACTCCATGTTAACTGTTCCTTATCACCTTCCTTTCCTCAAAGTGTTTCAAAATGGATTCCTTAAGGACCTGCTCCAGGATTTTTCCAGGGACTGAGGTGAGGTTGACTGGTCTGTAGTTCCCCAAATTCTCCTTCTTCCCCTTTTTTGAAGATGGGAACAATATTTGCCTTTTTCTAATTGTCCTGGGCCTCCCCCAGTCACTGAGTTTTCAAAGATAATGGGCAGTGGCTTTGCAGTCACATCAGCCACCTCTCTCAGCACCTGTAGGAACTTGCGCATGTCCAGCTTTTCTAAATAGCCCTTAATCTGTTCTTTGACCACTGAGGGCTGCTCATCTCCTCCCCATACCGTGCTGCCCAAT